TCCATGACGCCTCTCTCAGCCGAGCCTGGAGTCCAGACACATTGGTAGAGAAGAGACAGAGGCAAGTTTTAAAGCCATTTGAAGGTGAAAATTAAAAAAAAAAACTGCACAGGAAGTATAATGTTCTTAATTAAATATTAGCTGTAATTAGCCCAAAGTTCAAAGGTTGGGCCTATTAATTAGGGTCCCTCTGGAACAGCTGTCAGTGTTAATAAGTCACTGTGGGGGACAGCCACCACATCTGCCAAAGGAGTCCAGCTCTTTGGGACAGAAAGCCAGAGCCCCCTGCTCCCGGCTGCTACCTACAGGGCCGCCTTGGTCACGGCCATGACCACATCCACCCGGGGCCCAGCGCCTGTGTTTCCAGGGGCCAGCTCATCTCTGTAGATGGTGGTCTGCCCTGGCTCCAGCATCAGCCCAGACAGGCTGCCCTCACCTTTTCCGGGGTGGACTCAGCACGTCCGCTCAGAAGCCAGCTAGGTTGTGGCGGCCTCCTTCCCCGGGTGGTCCCACCGGATGGTGCCTAAAGGCACTACTGGCACTTCTGCATCAAACACCCCTGCGCCAGGCTTCCCCACAGGGCCACACACCCCAAACTAAAAAAATCCCATGCGGGTGAGTCGATTCTGGCTGTCCTATGAGCCTTTCCTTGGCTGTAATATTTAAAGAAGCACATTGACCGGTTTTTGTTTGTGTGTTTGTTGTTTTGGTGGTGGTGGTGGTTTTTATCGAGGTGCCACCGGGTGGCCCGGGCCGGCTCGGCCACCAGGCTTTTGGAGAGGGGCCACGGGCAAACTGTTTGTACCGTGCAATGGCCTTGCAGTCGGATGGAGCGCCTGGCTTGGGCCCATGGTATATAGAAGAGTTTGGGTAAAAACACAGAGAGGCCAATCTCCCCAGGACCCTCTCTCTCTCTCTCTCTCTCTCACACACACACACACACACACACTCTTGCTCTTGCTCTCTTTATTTCAAATTAAAAGGTCACTTTATTGGGGGCTCTTACAACTCTTATGACAATCCATACAGCATCTGTGTCGAGCATATTTGTACATATGTTCTTTTCTAGACATTTACTTTCTATTGAGCCCTTGGGATCAGCTCCTCTTTTCCCCCCTCCTCCTCCCCTCCTGGCCCCTTGATGGATTATAAATGAATATTATTTTCATATCTCACCCTGTCTCCCTTCCCCCCTGGCGTCTGTTGTTCTTCCCCCTGGTGGGGGTGGAGGTGCTATGTGCCAATTCTTGTGATCAGTTTCCCTTTCCTCCCCCCCACCCCTTTCCCCTACCCTTCTGGCAATGCTATTCCCATTCCTGATCCTGGATTCCATGTGTCGTGAGCTTGATCTCTCATCTATGCTGTGTACCTGCTCTGGTCTGGTCCAGAGTGAGAAACAGCACTAGGGTCATGACGGTGGTGGGTGAGGAAGCCTCAAGGAACCAGAGGACTACTGTGTGATCCATCGGTTCGCTACTGTACCCCAGGACTCTCTTGTCAGAGGTACAACATGGAATCCATGCGAGCTTGGGCTCATCCCTTGGCTGCTCTGACCTTGCCGTGGCTGTGACCTTGGAAAGTTCCTTGCCAGCTCTGGGCGGCAGAGTGTTCAACTAGGAAGTGTAGTGGGAGTAGACGTGCAATGCCTGCGAAAGCTGGACGACTTGACCCTGCCCTGTGGACCTGTGGGGCTGGGTCAGCTTTGCTGGGTCCTGTCCTGTGTGTTCTACAACATTGCCTGGCATCCCAGGCCTGGGTCTACCTGTCTGGAGCCGGGAGAGCAAAGGCTGGGAGCTGCAGAAGAACAGAAAGACCCTTTGGCAACAAGTCAGACCCATGTGTGTGTCAGAGTAGACTCATGCCCCGTAGGGTTTTCATGGCTGTGGTCTTTCAGCCACTGGTTACCAGGTCTTTTCCCCAGACACTCCTGGATCATATAGAACCATCCACCTTTCCACAAGGAGCCATGTGTGTTTGCATGATGGTGCTGATGAAGACTCTAGGGAACCATGACTGCCAAAGAAATGAACCAATCTGATTAGAGCAAGTATAGGCAGAGGGCTCCTTAGAGACCAGGATGGCAAGACTTCGCCTCACTTACTGTCCTGAGAGCCCAGGGCCTGGAGAAGGACGTCATGCTCGGTAAAGGAAAGGGGCAGTGAGAATCAGGAAAGTCTCCACAAGAGACATTGTTCCTTCTGTTCTTGTCGTTAGGTGCCCACGAGTTGTTGCCGGTTCAGAGTGGCTCTGCACAGCAGAACAAACCACCACCGGTCCTACCTCATCCTCCCCATTGTTCCTGTTGGAAGCTGTTATTGCAGTCACCGTGCTGAGGGCCTTAGCCTTTTTCATCGTCCCTCTATTTGATAAGCATGATGTTCTTCTCTGGAGACGGGTCTCTTCTGATCACATGTCCCAAGCAGCTAAGAATGGGCAGCGTTCTCTGTGTATGGTCACCTATTCTTCCCGAAGGGTAGTCTTTCCAGGGCCCAAATGCTCTGTGTGTGTGTGTGTGTGTGTGTGTGTGTGTGTGTGTGTGTGCAGTGCTGAAGAGGAGATTGTCAGAGAGACAGATAGGCTGTGTGAGAGATTAGTCTGGGGGAACAAAGGGCCTGATGGGAACGTCTTCTCATGTGAAATGGTTTACGTGTAGCCCAAACTCAGTCCTCTCCATGTGTCAGCTGCAACATTCTAATTAAGCTCCCTTCTGAACACCACACGCACCAGGCTGTAGCTCTGCATGGAAGTCTCTTCTCTGGCCCTCCCCACACCACACACACACACACACACACACACACATGCTTCAGCGTGATCCCCACACCACACACACACAC